CAACACTGTAGCCTTCGGGTAACAACCATCATCAAGTGCCACCAGACAGCAGCAGTATAGGCCTTCGGTTTATCAATGTTGCCACTCGTTAGTGTACACTTGGATGATAGTCTCCGACTATCACCTGCTGCAGCATTCGAGCAAGCAGCAGCATAAGCCTTCGGCTTATCAATGTTGCCACCCTTCGAGAGCTCATTAACACATCATAACTCCTTCAGCCCGAACTTGCCTTCGGCCTAAAGGAGTGGGGGACTAGGAGAACCCCTCGGGGAAACTATAAACAAACGATGACGTTTACAAAATCAACAAATGTAGCCTAAGGGCGAATCTCAACACAACTCCCTCGGGTGCATTCTATCACAACACCCTCTGGAAAACAACAAAAATCTCAAAATTTTGCAGAAGTCACTTGCAACACATATAGGCACCACAACTACATTTCCCTCAGAAAGCCCTCAACATGTGGGGGGGACTGAGGGAACCCTTCGGCAAACAGCAGAAGACAAGTGATCAGTCGAAGGCACCTGACAAAACGACGAAACCTTCGGGAGAAGCACCATAATTACTCCTTTTCCCTCAAGTACCTTTCGGCAAAAGGTGTGAGGGACTCCTGATGGAGTATATGGCCCAGGAACCCCTAGTCCACAGACTCCTACTACTCTATCACAAGCCCAACAAGCCCAAGAAGCTCAGGAGGCCCAAAATGCTGCGGCCCAAGCTCAAGGAGGCCCGCGGTGCACATACGGGGGCCTTCGGCAATATGGCCGAAGGCTCCAAAACTCACAGAACAGCCATATTTGAGCATACGAAGCTACTGGGAGGAAATGACAGAAAGCAGGAGCCTTCGGCACTGTTGAGCCCTCGGCATCAGAGAAGCCTTCGGCTGAACCAAGCCTTCGACTGAACCAAGCCTTCGGCTGAACCAAGCCTTCGGCTACACAGGGCTTTCGGCCATACGAAACCCTCGGCTGCATGGAGAGCCTTCGGCTAAACATGCTCAATCATCGAAGATTCCCTTTGGAGACAGCCAACCACCGCATTTAATGCAGCGTCACATCCACCCACCGCATTTAATGCGGTGAACGTGCGATTGCCGGTGCCACCCCGATTGAGGTGGCCCCTCGGCCGTTAGATTTCTGCCACGTGTACTCTCATCGCATTTATTGCTGCTATAAATAACACCCCCTTTTTCCATTGTAAAGCACCAGAACATCTCGAGTTCACTAATATAATCGCCTCTCTCTCTCCTACTTATTTGCTCTGACTTCTCTCTAGATTATTCTCATAATAACCCCCCGGATAAGCTACCTCCGGGTACACTGTCCATCAAGTGAAATGGGGTATGAATTATTGAGGGTATGATGGGAAAATGGTGAAATAATGTGATGGAATGATGGGAAAATTTAGAAATGAGAAGATATAAATGTTACGTCCAAAAAAGGAAAGCGGAAAGATGTGTTCTCTGGTCAAACTAGACAAAGAATACATTTTTGTCGCAATAAAGGTTTACCCACGTGAGATTCTAATCTGATCTGTACAATTTTTTCATGACATTCCAATTCCAATTAGTTTCACGCACCAACACGACAATACAACTATGAAATAATTACATAAATATGACCAAAATAAAGATGGTTTACAAAAATATAATTCATTACTAGAATAGTAATGAAATCATAGTAATTCATGTTCAAGTTTTGAACTTTAGTTACCACAGCACTACGTTGTAGTAATGAATAGTCATATTTATGTAAATAAGTTTTATTTTAGTAATATTCTCGTAAAAAACCCTACAACTGTTCAACATATATACTCCCTCCTAACTTTAAAATCTTCCCACATTTGAAAAGTAGGTAGATTAAGAATAGTGAAATAGAAAGATAGTGGAATAGAATATGAATTATTGAGGGTATGATAGGAAGATAGTGAAATAAGGTGATGAAATGTAGGATATAAATCCAAAAAAAGTAGTTGTAATAGTGTATTATTTTCAAAATTATTGAGGGTATGATGAGAAGATTTAGAAATGAGAAGATTATTTTGTTACGGACGAAAAAGGAAAGTGGGAAGATTTTAAAGTTACGGAGGGAGTACAACTCTTCACCCAGAGATAAACTCGAGGGGCGACCATGCGGATGCTACAACTTTTTTCTGTTGAATTGGAATTGGAATTCTGACACATACAAGCATAAGATCTATTAGCGTTAAGATTTAAACACTCTCATATAATTTGTCATCTGTAGGGTCAGGGTGTGGGGGCCATTAGGATTGGGGAGTCAACCGTCCTCGAGAAAAGAAAGATATGCATTTCTGAGTTTTCATTGTCCGACCCAGGTAAATATAGGGTCATCGCCATATTCAGGCTCTGTTTGCAAGTGATTGTGCTTAAATAAAAGCATTTTTTAGGAAAAAGTGTTAGTAGTAAAAGTTGGTAGTGTTTGGTAAAATAAGTGCTTTTTGTGTAATAGAAAAAGTAAAAAGTAGATTCTACACGAAAACCGAGAAAGTAAAAGTTGATATTGTTTGATAAAATAAGTGCTTTTTTCTTAAAAAAAAAGCCAAAAACACTTAAATTAATTGTTTGCAAACAAAGCCTCATTCTTATCTTACTGTGGATGAAGCTGTGGATCTAATTCTAGATACTCAATCTCCCCTTCAAAGATCACGTGGAATCAATTTTAGTTTTTGGAGTGTGATTTTATGCAAAAACAGTTCTGTAAATCGTTATGCTTCTTAATTCATTCTAATGGTAATCGTAGTTTAGTACTTTAGTTGTTCCCGAAAGGTTATACTAAAACTACATGAGTTTACAAATCTATGACCTAACTACTCCCCCCAAAATAATATTTAAATTTTTAATATTTAATTAAATTCGTAATAAATAATTAAATTAATTTTATGGACTAATATACCCTTTACAATATGCCTATAAAACCCTAATATTCTAAGTTCTAATCATTTCCTCCAACCCTAAGCTCTAATCTTCTCCAGCCGCACACCCCCCTCTTATCCCACGACTGTCGCACTGCCGCCTGCCACCACTTTCTTGCTGCACGGCCGCCTGTTGCCGCCATCTAGCTACGCCACCGCCTGCTTGCCACTCAGGAGTCACGTCGCTGAGTTTGGAAGCGTCACCACTAACCGCACTCACGATGGTTGGCTCGGAGGTTGCCGGCGGCCTCACACCTGTGCAGATATGGCCGGAGAGTCATGTGTGCCGCTGCTGTCCGCCCAAGCTCTGCGCGGCGCTTCATTCCCAACCCCCACCCTTCATCCTCAACCAGCCGCCTCCTTGCAGGTGCCGCACTTCATCCCCAACCAGCCGCCGCCATCTAATTGCATAGCCGCACTCCTACTCGCCGCCTCCATCTAGCCGCACAATTGTCCGCCTCCATGGGTGAAACAGATGACTCGCAACTCTTACTATATAGAATTATAGATATATATATGTAATTCATTTAGTTATATCTAGCTATTATACTCTTACTATTACTTAATAGGATAATCATATTTTATTTGTAATAAACACAAAAAAAAAATTAATTTAATTCATAAAAAATCGTAAAGAATTTTAAAATATTTCTAAACTATTTTTTAAAAATTTCAAAAATAATAAAAACAAAAAATATTTTTTTAAAAAGTAAAAAACTTTAAAAATAAATAAAAATAGATAAACACATTTAAAAAAATATGGGGGCCTCTCCCACATTCTAGGCTACTGCCCAGCCAAGTTACATCGGTTCAACTAAAAAAATGCCATTTTTTGAAAAAATTGTCATTTTTCTCTGAAAATGCCATAAAGATGGCATTTTTGCTCTTTGAAAATGTCAAAATTTTCTAAAAAATGCCATCAAAATAACATTTGAGACAAATTTTGGCTTTTTTCCGGTGATCGGAGCTAGAGGTGTTGGGAGTAGTGATGGACCAGTTCTGGGCCGCCCGGCCCGACACTGTTTGGAACCGGCCCGACCCGGTGGCCTGCCAGAGACCAGTTTGGGTAGGCCCGCCCGGGGGTTAAGTTGGGCGGGCCCGGGTCACCCAAATTAGGAACCGGCCCGGCCGGGGCAGGCCCGATTCAGGCTTTTTTTTATTTTATTTTTTTTTTTTGTTTTTTCAATTTTTTTATCTTCATGGGTTGGGCTAGTAGTTTTGGGGTGGTATGGGGGGTGGAGTTAATTAAGAAATAAAAAAAACTAGGAACCGGCCCGAGGCCCGGCCCAGACCCAGTGGATAACCGGTCCGGTTCCGGGCCTCAATTATCTCCCAAAAAGTCCGGTCAGGCCCGGCCCAGACCGGGCCCAGTCCATGTCTAGTTGGGAGGTTGCTGAGGTGGTAGCATAGGCCTACATATTTTTTTAAATATTTTTTGCATTTTTATTTATTTTATTTTAATTTTTTATGTTTTTTATTTATTATTTTTTATTTTTTGATTTTTATTAATTTTATATAACATGTAGTGTTTATTTCATTTTTTTTTTTATTTTTTATATTTTGATTATAAATAAAATTATGTTATTGCTTTTATATTCTAATTATTAATGAAATATGAATTGTATATTAAAAGAAAGGGTAGAATTGGAGAGTTGGTCGTATTTAAGGATTTTTAAGTTATGGTCTTATTTTGACAATTAAAGTTCCATCAAGTCCCATTTGAGGAATTCTCCCAAAATTTATATATGTGAAAAACATACAATAATGATGCGAAAATAATTTTTTATATTAAACTTGTGTAATAGCATATGCAAATTTCCAATACTTATCGTGTAGATCATTAAAATTTGAATATTTAAATCATTTTCCCTTTGAATACCGTTAAAATTTGCAAAAGATATTTTTTATTTTTTATTTATTTTGAAAACGATATCGTTTAAGCAAAATAATACGTACTGCTCCGTATTTCGGAGGATTTGTTTGAAAACTATTATAACAAAAAAAAATCATTTTTCTTAGGCAATGACAATGACAAGCCCTTAAATGAGAAGTTGATTTACGGCGGAGAGACTAATTTTGGGACTGAATGAAAAAAAACTCCGTAGAGCCGGACCGAGACCTAAAGATCAAAGAGGTGGAAAAAACTGAGCCCCAGGAGAAGACGAGCAGCAGCAATTAGAAAATCTGAGATCGAGCACAGCAAGTTTGAGTCAATGGACTCTGCTGTAGTGGATAGAATCATAGAGAAGCTAACAGAAGTCCGATCTTCAAAGCCAGGGAAATTGGTTCAACTTACTGAGTCAGAAATCAAGCAGCTTTGTGTGGCCTCTCGAGATATTTTCATGAAACAACCCAATCTTCTTGAACTAGAAGCACCCATCAAAATTTGCGGTACCCCCTTTTTTCATTAAAATTTTTAAGTATTTTTGTTTTTAGTTAGATCTTTGGGTTCGTTTCTTGCTGTTAGAGTGTTTTTGGGTTTGGCCCTTCTCTTGCCAGTTTGTTTTCTCTAGATGAAACCTGTTCTGGTATTTGTGCTGTTATAATTATTGCTGTTGAAATTGTGGTATTTATCAGTATTGTTATTATTTGCATTGTTGTTGTTGTGGTAATGTTGTTGATTGTTGGAGTTTTTAGGCTAGTTGTTTTGTAAGTTTAAAATTTGATATGGTTTGTCTTGACACAACATATCATGCTTGCAAATACTGTGCACAAAATGGAGGAATTTAGTTTTTTTCTCTCTAATTAATCAATTCTCTTAGTGTCTTAAGATGTCTAGACTGTTATGCTTTGAGGAAGTGATTTCTCGTGGTCATTTAATTGAATTTATTCCTTTCAGGTAATCAGGTGTAGGGCTGGTTTGCAACAGCTTCAAAAAAAGCACTTCTCAGTTTTTGGCTTTAAAAAGCACTTATTTACCACTACCAATTTTTTACTTTTTTCGGCTTTCGTGTCAAAAGTGCTTTTCCCCTTTTTATACACCAAAAACACTTATTTTACCGAACACTACCAACTTTTACTTTTCAAAATCATTTTTTTCTCAAACACTATCAACTTTTACAACTAATCACTTTTTCCAAATCACCCCAAAATTGCTTTTTTTTAAGCAGAAACTGTTGCAAACACTCCCGTAATAATCTCTATATTGATATTATTGTCACTAGACAGTTATCTTTCATATTAATGAGTTATACTAGTTGAGAATTCAAAGAGTATAAATGAATAACTATAAAATGGCAAACAAATGGTTAGAATATGTTTGGTTGTATTGTTTGAAGAGAAGAGAGATTCTCCTCTCCCATTGTTTGATTTAAAATTTCAGAAAACGAGGGGAGCCTAATTTTCTTGTCTCCCCTAAACCAAACACTCACATGAAATCCTGTTAAATTGGGCCATCCGAACTGCTTGCACAGTATTTATGTACAAACTACCGTTGAAAGTTACATGTACCATGATTTCACTCTAACCCTTATTTACATCAATTTGTTGTATTAAAAACCAAACATTCTCCTAGTATTCAATTCTACCTACTTTTATCACTATTTTATTGCAAAGGAATCGATTTAACCTCCACAGTTTTGGCAAAAAAGCCCCTGGTTTGGATGGAATTTTGTGCAAAGTTGTAAATGCAGTTCATGGGTGTATGTTAAGGTTTTCTAAGGGCTTGTTTTTTCATATTTAGTGTAGGATTTTGAAGTTGAGGGACAGAGATTTTTGTTTCATTAGTTTATCCCTGCTTTGTTAGTCTTAGGGAGTGTTTGCTACAGCTTTAAAAAAGTGATTTTCAGTTTTTGTCTTAAAAGCTGAAAAGAGTGTTTTCAAATGACTTTAAACTAAATTAATCACTTAAAAGCTAAAAGCTGGAAGCAGGTGGAAGAGTGTTTCAAACTGCTTTTCACTTTTTCTATTACACAAAAAGCACTTATTTTACCAAACACTACCAACTTTTACTTTTTCAAAATCACTTTTTCCTCAAACACTACCAACTTTTACTATTAAGCACTTTCTCCAAAATCACTTAAAAAATCACTTTTTTGAAGTAGAAGCAATCGCAAACACTCTCTTAGACACTTAGACTACCTATTAATTAATAACTATATGTTTACTCAAATCAATAATGTATGCTTCTATATAGCTTTTCATGTTCACCTTCTTTCCAGACATCTAAAGTTAAGAATTAACCAATCAAATTATTATTACTTCTCCCTCCAGAATCGACCAACCAAACAAGGGCTAACTATTTTCCAAGCTCAGCTATGGGTTTTAAATAATGAGGGGGATTGGTGGGTCAAGGACTCAAAGGGATATAAGTGATCTAGTTCACCTTTTTTACAAGAATGACATCACTATCCCTGTTCTTTCTTTAATTACTTCCTTTAATGGACCTATGATTTTCACCTCATTATTTATAATCTTCTTCATGGTTTCAGGAGACATTCATGGTCAGTACAGTGACCTATTGCGCCTTTTTGAATATGGAGGGTTTCCTCCCAATGCAAATTATCTATTTTTAGGCGACTACGTAGACCGTGGCAAACAGAGTTTGGAAACCATATGCCTCTTGCTTGCTTACAAAATCAAATACCCAGAAAACTTCTTTCTTCTTAGAGGAAACCATGAATGTGCTTCAATAAACAGGATATATGGATTTTATGATGAATGTAAACGGAGGTTTAATGTAAGACTTTGGAAAGCCTTTACTGACTGTTTTAACTGTCTTCCTGTGGCGGCTCTTGTTGATGATAAGATATTGTGCATGCACGGGGGATTATCCCCTGACCTATCCAATTTGGACCAAATCCGGAACTTGCCCCGTCCGACAGCTATTCCGGACACAGGCTTGCTTTGTGATTTGCTTTGGTCAGATCCAGGTAAAGATGTGAAGGGGTGGGGGATGAATGATAGAGGAGTTTCTTTTACCTTTGGACCAGATAAAGTGTCCGAGTTTTTAACGAAGCACGATTTGGATCTTGTCTGCCGGGCCCATCAAGTAATTAATGTTCCTCTTTTTCTGTTTTTCTTGACTATTTTGAGATTGCTTGGATCCTGGAAAATTGCTAGGGGAAGATGAAAAGTAATGCATATGAAAGTTATTTTTTTGTGTTTGGTTTACATCTGGAAATTTAAAAGAAGGTGAAATATGCCTGATGTCATTTGTTTAGATATGCTTATATTTACTAGCTTTGTAAACTAAAAAAAATGAGTAAGTTTTAACAATTGAGTTTGAGCTTATCTTTTATTTGAACCCGATTTTCCCCTTTTCTTTCACTTATTCTCTCCTTCTTTCTCCTTTTCTTTGTATTTTTGAGTTCCAAATGGAGCATAGGGTATTAAAGGGATGCTTGTAGTTGTACCCAGAGGAAAGGCATGGAAAAGAACAAAATGCCAAAGAAAGTTAATTTTCATGTATACCTGTTGAATTGAAAAAAATGGAATAATTGTTTTTGATTTGATTTGGTTCACTGTTCTCAGCCCCTATCTGCTATATTTAATGCAGTTTAGCACAAAAAGTTAGCCTGATTGGTTTGTTTTAGGAATTCAAAGGATATTATATTACTGTTCCTCCAAATTGGTCTAGTAATTATTTATACAACAGATACTTTTGTAACTTAAAAGAAATAGTCTGGTTTTAAAGATTAACTTAGGGTTGATTGGTCATTTTATAAGGTCCCTTAATGGCTTAATTTGTATCCACTTTTCTTGAACATCAATCCTTTTGTTTTAGATGGAGTAAAATATTTGACATAGAGAAATAAAATGAGTTTGCTAGAATGCCAAAAAGATGTATTGAGTATGAACCGATGTTTTATATTGCCCCACATTTGATTTCCTTAAAAAAATTCCTTCATTTTTTCTACTAGTCTACTCTCTTTTCTTAGCATTTTTCAGTGTTCCGAGCAGACATTAATGTTACTGTTTGTCCGTGTAAAATCTTTATTCTTTGGTTCACAGGTTGTGGAGGATGGGTATGAATTCTTTGCTGACAGGCAGCTAGTCACAATTTTTTCTGCACCCAACTACTGCGGAGAGTTTGATAACGCTGGTGCAATGATGAGCGTTGATGAGAACTTGATGTGCTCTTTTCAGATTCTAAAACCCGCTGAGAAGAAAAATAAGTTTATGCCATCAACAAAAATGTGATTTCGTTCATCAGTAACTACTTGAAATTTATGAAAGGTGTGCTATATATCCTACTCTGCTTCATTTTGCATAGGTGCTGCATGTACAGTGCATTGGGTGTGTCAGTGTGTGCCCATATCTGATTGACTGTGGTGTAACCAATATCCTAAGATTATCCCCATAGGCGCTAGCTATTGCTATGATCTTGAATCTGAACCAGAACCGGAATATCCAAAGTCATACGACTGAAGACCAGACTGAAATATTGAATTGGTATGGCACTGAAACTGTATTTTCTTTTAGAATTGGCTTTGCTAGACCTTAATCATTTTAAAATATTTTGGAGTAACTCAGTAAAGTTTTGCTTGTCTACGTATGTATGTAACAATCCCTCGGTCTCATTTTCTATGGTACACTCACCTTTTATAATGTCCCAAAAATATGAATACTTTTATAACGTAAACTCTACTAGCTTTTTAGTTTTTCACTTTATCCTTTTATCTCTCATTTCATTTTTTACTTTTTGTGAGGTTATACAATGGTAAAGGAGTACTCATATCCTTTATTTTGTTAAAGCAATGCCAAACCACAATGCATCTTACTTTTTGGGTGAAGGGAGTACATGTTTAAAAGGATAATGTTTGAAATATGTGTACCAAAAATTATACGTAGTATGTTAGATAGTAAAATATTCAAGCAAACCATATTATTTTTAATTGCAATCCGACCCGTCTGGACTGTACTTTTTGAGATTCAGACTGGACCAGAACCCTTAAAACCTTGGACCAAAGACCGGACCGGTGTGTAGTTGGTCCTTCTTGGACCAACCGTCTGGTTTTGAACAGTCACACAGACCAGTTTGGAATCTGGGCCACCTTCGGGTTCAATTGATGGCTGGATCAAGTTCTTTTGCACTAGTTATCGCTTGACTGTAACCATGGACTCATGGTTTACACTAGAATTAACTAGAAGCAGGAAAAAGGGTCCAGGAATACTTTGGAATTGACAAAACGGGAGCTTACCTCACTCCATTCCCTTGAGTGCTGATTTTCATGCATTCCTTTGACATTAAGTATCATGTATTTTATCGGTACAACAACAACTACAAAAACAAAAATTAAGCCTTATTCCCATAAGATTTTGAGGCCGGCTAACATGAATCGATCTATGATATCAGAGCCAAAAGGGAAAAGGTGCAAATAGGCCCATGTACTAACCAAAAAAAGTCAAATAAGCCCTTATTTAGGAGGCTCTGTCCGGCCGTCGTCATTTGGGGTGGTTCCCGGTGGAATTTTTTGATGAAATTTTTTGAGCATCTTATTCATTAAGTCTAGTTTACTCATACCAAATTTCAGCTAAAACTTCAATCGGGAAGGCATTCAAATGAATTCTTGAAGATAACTGCGCAGTTATTTTCAAGAATTCATTTGAATGCCTTCCCGATTGAAGTTTTAGCTGAAATTTGGTATGAGTAAACTAGACTTAATGACTAAGATGCTCAAAAAATTTCTTCAAAAAAATTCCACCGGGAACCACCCCAAATGGCGACGGCCGGACAGAGCCTCCTAAATAAGGGCTTATTTGACCTTTTTTGATTAGTACATGGGCCTATTTGCACCTTTTCCCGAGCCAAAAACAACATTCAAGCCTTATTCCCAAAAGGGTACCTACCACAACACCCTCTTCCATCATGTATTTTATCGGTATTGTTTTTGTTTTTACTGCGGAGTATTATTATATTGGTGTAGTGTCAAAAGTCTTGATAGTTTGGTCAGAATAGCAAGCTGGATTATGTTTCATCAATTTCCTCTAGTAGTTATGACCAAGGAAATCAAAGTCCTGAGCCGCACTCAAGGCGCTAGAGTACTCATATTGTCTCACTTAGTGGGTCACTTCTTATTAAAGAACTACTAAAGTTACTGCAAAGTAAAATGAAACATCACATGGCCCTACATGGACTCTGAAAGTACCACTACGGTCATTTGGCATTAATTTTTTTATATTTTTGTCCATTATTCCTTTATATTTAACCTTCTTTAGTTAATTGATATCCAGCTTCCCACCGTTTTTCTTTTTTAAACAACCCTTGAACAGACTGAGCATGAACATGTGGTTGTTCAGATAAGTGAAGACCCAAACAGGTTCTGGCCATAGCTAAATTCAAACACTCCATGTTCGGCTTAGCTTCTTTTGAACCAAACACACCTTTAAAAAGTTTATGGCTTACCTTTGCTTAAATGTATATTTAGTGTGCAACGCAAGTATTATTCACTTTATTCTTACAATTAACATCATTCTACTCTCCTGTAGACATTTTATCCTAAACAGAGGAAAGCACTAGTTATCAACGGATGGTCATCATGGTGGTTCATTCTCATTGACACATTGGCATAGTACAACCGGAGAAGATCAATGGCACAAACTGTCTCTTTTCCTTGAGCTCTGCCAATTGCTTGGATGAGATGCTGATTAACCAACATTAGCACGATGACATTGTGTTACAGCTTTATGTTTACCTGTCTTCTAATGCAATCTTAGTCTTGTATCTGCAATTTTTAGTCTTTTGTCCAAGAAATGTTATTCTATAGTTAATTGCATTTTCCGAGGATAAAGGCCGTGGCACATGAAATGAGTTAGTTATATATCGTAGGGCTATGATGGTTGTCCAACCAATTTGCTTGCTTTCTATTCTTGATTTGGCATGCTTGAATGCTTGATTACATTAATGTTTAACTTGGCATGACGGGATGAGGTTGAATAAGTTTATAAGCGTGACAGAAATATGTTAACGGTTACATTCCGAATATGTAGTGTGGATTCATATAAGTATGGTTAGACAGTTAGTATGATAGTATCCATTGGTTGATTACCAAGAGTTTCGGTATTCTCCATATAACTATGGGTGGACCTGGTCCACCGGTCCTGACCAGCAGCCCGGATTGGAGCCTGTTACTGTGTAGGACCAGCTCAGGACTGGTTTTCCGATCTTGGTCAATGCCCCTGGTCAATGTTACCTGGTCTCGGGGTATGGTTTCTATGGACCGGCCAGTCGTGGGCTTGGTCCGGTCCAAACGGCAAAATAATTTCTCCTCCCATTTCGTCGAGAGAGTAGGCTTGGACTCGGTGTGGGCCACCCGGCTCGGAAATTGGCCCGGCTGGGTACTGTGTGGGCCCGGCCCGGCCTAGGAATCGGGTCTAGGCCCGGTTTAAGGATGAAACTGGGGCGGTTCCGGGATTGATTAAATGTGAATCGGCCCGGTTCCGGCCTTTTTATTTTTTTTGGGGTTTTTTTTTTGTTTGGGCTGGGTTTAAATGGGCTGAGATGGGTGTTTCCGATGGGTTCGGGGGATGGGGGATGAAATAATCAAGAAAAAAAAAAGAACAAGACCCGGGCCGGGCCGGAACCGGTAGACAACCGGGCTAGTCCTGGGCCTAAACCATTGCCATCCAGACCCGGCCGGGCCTAGACCCGACCCGGACCCGACGTGGACCCGGGTCCATCACTACGAGAGAGGGCTTGTTTCGAATGTTGGAGGAGCCTCTAACGACTAAAAACGGCTATATGAAGGTTTGGGGGTGGAGTGTTGGGGAGGTTAAAAATATCAATAAATATCTATGACCTAAAAAAATCTTACACATTTATTCTATAATTTCTCATTCTTTCAACTACTATAATCTCTACTGTTGGACTCTTCTTTATTATGGAAGGAATATTAGCTTATTATTTAACCTATAACTCTGTAAGAGTATAATGTCAGAGGACATGTTTAATATTTTATGCATACTATTTTCGTTATTGAGAGATTTTGTAATTGGGAAAATATGGAAGTAATGATTATGATTTATGGTACACTCTTTCAAGCGGTCCATCCGTCCATGCTAGTAATGAAAAAAATGTTGTGTTTGTGTGTTAATATTCAAATGTTGTGTACTATTTTCAAATTCAGTTTTGTTTTCAGTATTATAATATTTGTACTCGTTCAACATTTTGAAATTTTTAATGGTTTGAAGGCTAATTTGAAATTTATCGTTAATTATTACTGTATACGTCAATTTGGTTAGCCATTACTTATACATACTAGTATAACTTTTACAGTATATAGTCTTTTGTTTATATTAAATTATCATTGAGCAAATTAGAATACAATTGAAATAATCGAGTGTTAATTATTCAAATGTTATGCACTATTTTTAATGTATGGCGAATTTGACTTTGTATCCTCTTTTTGGATGATATTAGTCTTTGCACCCCATTTAAAAAAAACTTTGATTTTGCATCCCATCACATAACTTTTTGTGAAGAACAATTCATGAATGTGGTGTAAAGTTAAAGAATTGTTAAGTCTAATGAGGTTCAAAGTCAAAGTTATTTGAAAATGAAATGCAAAGTCCAATATCACCCAAAAAGTAGGGTGCATAGTCAAACTACACCTTTAACATACAGTCCTTTGTTTCATCAAGCTTACTTTTAACATCCTTGATTTGAGTGTAACTAAGTGTCTAAGTGTTATCCTTTTTTTACAGTCCAAGTGTTATCCTTTAAATGCTTTGTAAACGTTTTTTGGTTGTACTCTCTTTTCTCATAATATATGTTCTGTTAATTGTCAGCGTTCTTGACTGAGATGAGTTTCGAACATGTGACATCCTCCATGGCATGATATATTTATTTTCAATAAAAAATGTTCTTTAATAAATTTATCATCATTAACTGGAAAAATCAAAGTTAGCTCAGGCATGGCAATGGGTCGGGGCGGGGCAGGCACTGCAAGACCCAGACCCGCCCCGTGACTTGGCGGGGCGGGTCCACCCCGCCCCGTGACCTGCACGGGTCCAAACTTTTTGACCCATGACCCGCCCCATGCGGGGCGGGTCTGCTCCGCCCCGCCCTGCCGTAACCTTATTAGCTAGTATGTATTTTTATTTGTGAAAGTTGTTACCAATTGTATCTACATAAAGTTTATCTCTAAATAATAATTAAAAATTAATATATTAAATAAAATTCATGATACCCTAAAAATTCTAAAAATTAACGAAAAATTACTTAGACTTGAATAGTTAATCTATTTAATTATATTAATACTTGAACATATGTATTAAAATGCTATATATAAAGAAGACATTGATAATCTGTCGTTCATCTCATTCTAATATATGTATTTCGTATTAATACTAGTATATTATAAGATCAAAGAATTTATGATTTACTGTATACACACATATGTATGTTGAAGTATATTTATAGTATAATTTAAGAAAAAGTATGTATGCTTATGTATTGAGCGGGTCGGGGCGAGTCGGGGCGGCACGGGTCAATACTAATACCCGGATCCGCCCCATTGTATAGGCGGGGCGGGGCGGACCTGCCCCATTAGGAAGACGGGGTGTGCCGGACCCACCCCAAATGTCTCGGGCCAGGGCGGGTCACTGTGGGTCAGTTTTTTTTTACATCCCTAAGTTAGCTAACTAAAGGGAGCGAAGGTAGTAGAACATCATGAATTTATGATAATAAACTTGTATGCCGTATCACTTGAGGCACAAACTTCTTTTTAATGGTATAATATACAGTTAGATTGAAATAATCAAATCTGAAACAATCATGATTATAATTAGGTAGATTCTATGGTACCTTTAATATATCATATCTTTGTCCACATGAACCAATCAAAAGATTTTAGTTGAATTATTTAAATCTAAATTTAAAATGAAATAATGATTTGGACCAATCAAGTAAGTGATAGGTACTGTTTAAGCAAAATATTGATAAGCTAAAACTAATTAAAAAGGAATTTATATGAAGAAAAGGGGCTTCGAACAAGAATAAAGAAGAAGATGACAAGAGAGTGAATAAGAGTGAAAGCTTGTGTATTATTCGAATGTTTTTGCTGCCTTGATTACAATGAGGCTATTCTATTTATAGGAAAAGCAATTAAAGCTCTAATGATGGTTTTTTCCGTTATTGACGGATTGGCCATCCGTTACGTACTGACAGATTCAAATCCGTCATAAAGGCTGGTCAAACACATTTAATACCCTCCTTAATCACATTAAGGAGCCTAATAATGTACAAAAAACGTTACAAAATTTAAAAATGATATTCTTGACGCTTCAGTGACTCAATTTGTCTGTTTTGACGGTTTGACGTAACGGTTCTGACCCATCGTCGGTTTTGAAACTCGTCATCAATGCTGGCCAGGTCAAAATAAGTAACCTCCAGCCTTAATATCGTTGATAACTCCAGTAATAAGCACAAATCCGTTACAACAGCCATCATTAAGCCTCTTTAACTTTTGTGATCAACTCTCTTTAATGCAAAATATATTGCCAAATAATTGCACTAACAATTGCCCCCTTTCGAGAAGTTGGCGCGTACGATGCATGGTCGGATCATTAAGCGGTAACTTGTCGAAATTTTGAAAGAGCAACACTTCACCTCTTGGTTCACTGCGTCTATCGACGAATTGTGGTGACATGTTGACAGCTTCGGTTGATGACACGTTTCCGTCTTTCTTCGGAATCAGCGTTGATCGAATCCGTCTCCTCAATTAAAACAACAAAATCTGAAGTCTGACATGTTATCTTTTCTCCTCCAAAATTGTCTTGACGACTCGGTGACAGAAATTCTACAACATCTTTCACATTGATGTCGACACTTCATCTAGCGACGGGAACATCATCCATCATTGAAGATGACGAGATGTGTTGTGCGAACTTGATTCATATCCTGCAAAAACTTTAAATATGGCATTACGTTTGTCGTTTGTATTGTCTCCTTATGTTGGAGCGTGTGCTTTCGTTGTGTAGTTCTGTAATTTTTTTATGTACGTGTGATGTCATATACGTTTCGGTGGCACGTGCGGTGTCATATATGTTTTGGTTGCACGTGCGTTGTCATATATGTGTGTAAGTTTTGGCCAAAAATATATATGTTGTAAGGGCCGGCTGGGACTGTTATCCATGATCTTCTCATGGGCAGCCCAGCCCTTTCCCATTTGATGTTAGTGTGTAATATGTAATTGGCAAGAGCATGGTTGAAATCCTAGTTTCCTCAGTAATTGCTTGGTCTTATGCGTCGAGATAGTCCTGCATCCATTAAAAACCGTCAAAGCTGGCCGTTGGCTTTAGGCCAACGACCCTCAAATGGTTAAGTCAGTAAACGCAATGAATCTCTCTTGAAACGGAAATGTATACTTTACACTGAATACGTCATAACATTCTTTCAGCGGAATGACAAAAGTATGATCCCACAGAGGACCCCAAAATATATTGAACTAAAGCTCACGGCTAAGATTAGTTACAAAAATGATTTGAAGGAAAATGCAAAGATTATTAACTATTGAGGATTAAGATTTTAGCAATCCAAAATACCAAGTCTATAAATGACATAAGATTTGCAGGTTAAAATTGCAGTTCTGCCGGGGGTCAAATTAGAAAGTAAGACACGACCTCAAAGTGACGTACAGACTGACCATGACGCTTTGACAGATCCATCGTACCCAATATGTCATGGACTTCTAATTGAACTTACGAGGACGTGTGACGTATCAAAGAGACTTACCTGGCACCTCATTTGGTTTCCTGCACTTAAAACGTCGTTAGGATTGGTCGTTGGCCTTAAGCCAACGGCCCTCAGACGATTAAGTTAGTGATCGTTTTCAGGTAAAGGAAAGTAATGAATTAGGCACTTGTATACAAAATTAAACACATATCTTTCACTAGAACACGCCTATCACCAGACAATATGCCCCCCATCCGACGATTAAAATCGTCTCGTTACCAAGGTGACTCG